TCAGGTTTAGTTGTATCAATATACTGTACTGCTCAAAAGTCCGAGACCACTTTTCATGCATTTAATGGCTGCTTTGACTGGAAATTAAGTACAAGTTATTCATTTTTCTGCATCAGGAAGAAAAAGAAACAGAAAACATATATTTAATGTTTTAATGTTTGTTTAGGTGGTCTACCAGGTCTTGCATGGTTGTTAGGAGTCCCATATTAACTAAAGCTTTTAATCATTTTTTGAGCTGAAGTTTTATCTAATCTCTTCAGAAATAGCTCCTGAAAATGAACAACATAATGGCCTAACCCAATTTTCTCCCCAATTTAGTCGTCGCCAATTCCACCCGCTAGTTAGGAATCCCCCACTCACACGATGCTATCAACGCTAGGAGGGTGAAGGCTAACACAGGCTTCCTCCGAGACCTGTGAAGCGCCACCGCTTCTTTTCGAACTGCCGCTCACGCAACGAGCCGAACGCGCTCGGAGGAAAGCGCCAACCGCCAGATCTGTTACGTCAGCTAACAGACGCCTGCGCTGACTAGCATCGCGTTAGGTGATGGGGGGAGAAGAAGGGGCCATCCTACCCACCCAGAGAGAGCGAGGCCAATTGTGCTCTCTTGGACGGTTGCTACGGATGGCTGTAGCATCACCAGGGATCGAACTCGCGATCTCCTGATGACAGGGATAATGGCCATTTTTAAGTAAATGAAGGGTGGACTGTGTTTTTTGCTTAATAATGTACAGTGACCTCAAAAGGTATTAGAACACTGTTAACCCTTGGCAAACAAACAAAATCCTTTAGGTTACTTCATAAAATAAAATTTGTTTCAGAGAAAAATACTTTTAGCACAGCATCAAACTGATGGTGGACTCTTTGTATAGAGAAAGCCCGAAAAGAACTCCAGACTGCACTAAAGTCCCGTTGGAGCTGGATTAGATTTACATAGGGAGGTGCTGAAATCTGAGTGATTACTGACGAGATCCCTGATTTTAATCCAGTACGAATCTGCCACGTCTGTAGTTTTTACAAGTCAGCAAATTAATAATTCCAGAGTGAATTACCTTCTTTAATTCGCTGAACTCAGAGATTCTCAGTAATAGTGGTCCTGCTTGAATCACAACAGCTAAAATGGAGTTTAATCTGACCCAATTCATTAACCCCCAAGACTTTTACAATCTACAACAATTAATATAAAGTCTCCTACTTTAACCCAGGTATCGCTTTTTTTCCTGCCATATTTATCATTTAGCTGCAAAAATGAATGAAACACAACACAGAGCAGGGATAAAAATAAGTTAGAAAATGATCACTGAATTGTAAAATTGAATTGCATGAAATGCTTTTGTTTCATAAAACCACACTAATAATAATAATTATTAATATAAGCAGATCTCTGGGGGGAAGTACATAATGCAAAAAAAATGTAGGGGTAACACTGTATTTGTTACAGAATGGTTACACCCACATGTCTATAACAGCTTATTGAGGATGCTTAGATGATCTGTATCATACCTATTACATGTTCAGTGACCTCTCAGGTTAAGATCTACAGATGTGGACACTCCAAATAAAGTGAAAAACAACTGAATTCAGTAGATAAAACACATTTTATTTAAACATTTAATTAAAAGTCTACTGAATGAATTCACTACATCATTGATTTGTTGATGTTACTGAGAGTTTGTTGAGTGTTTAACCTAAAAAGGACCACTCAAAATAAAGTGTCACTGATGTAGGATATGGGACCTTTAACTGTTATGTATGTTTTTTGATGGATACTTTGGATTATTTGGAAAAGAACAGTTCAAAATACATCAAAATTAAATCAAGTGTAAATTTCATTTCTGGAAATGTGCTGTTTGTCTGTCTGGCTGACATTTACAACACTGTAAGGTTCCCTGTTGTGTAATTTTAATGTCAAGTTTGTAAGACATTCTTTTAGCGCAGCAAATTTAGTGTGGGTTCATTAATGTTAGCAATGCTAACTTAAATGTCATCTGATACTGTGATATGTTTGGAAAATATCATGATAGTAAATTGTATCAATATCATCCAGAACTATTAAGGCTGGTTATTTAGTGCCTACTATAAGTTCTTGAGTAACTACTATGAAGCCCCATTTACACCTGGTTACTTCATGTGATGAGTATCTGGATTGTATACTGATGAGATTTTAGCCATGTGCATTTACATTTGGTAGTCAAAAGCATCTCTGGTTAGTCAGATTGAAATCTGAATGCTGTGTGGGATGTTACGCTCATTATGCAGCAACCAGTTATCAACTGTTTATCTGTTCAGCCTCTTCGTCTGCAGTTTGTTTTGCACAGTCTGTCCATATTGCTACTGAACATTTTGTTTCGTCTGGTTTCTAGCAACGTGCGGGCTCTATGATTATCTTCCTTGTAGACATGAATCATGTGACATACTGCATGGGGAGGAGTTTCAGTTGTCGAGTGTATCTTGGAGAGACGGATGTGTTTACACTGCTATAACATGTGGCTCAAATTGTTCTCAGACCACCTCCTGAAGTGGTCTGAATGATGATTTGTGTCCGTTTTAAAAGCGTCTTGGGTGCGTTTACACCTGCATTGGTATGTGGTTTAGCCTTATCCAGATATGACCCTGATACTCGATGCATGAAGTGACCAGGTGTAAATGGGGTCTGATTATGTATGAGTTGAAGTGTAGATTACACACACTCACAGGCACGTAGTTAAGGTTTAAAGGGTTAATGTTGTTAATAGTGGTGGTTCTGCTTGCAGACTTCATTCCCAAACATCCGATGGCACAAGATGCTGCTTTTAAGAATCCGTGGTGTTTATTTGTTTGGATTTACATACATACATACATCATCTAAACCGCTTATCCTTCTGGGTCGCGGTGGGGTGCTGGAGCCTATCCCAGCTGTCATTGGGCGGAAGGCAGGATACACCCTGGACAGGTCGCCAGTCCATCGCAGGGCAGACAGACAGACATACACACTCACACCTAGGGGCAATTTTAGCACGTCCAATCAGCCTGACTGCATGTTTTTGGACTGTGGGAGGAAACCGGAGTACCCGGTGGAAACCCACGCAGACACGGGGAGAACAGGCAAACTCCACACAGAAAGGACCCTGGTCGCCCAGCTGGGAATCGAACCCAGGCCATTCTTGCTGTGAGGCAACAGCGCTACCCACTGCGCCACCGTGCTGCCTGTTTGGATTTGTGAATGCTTTTTTTTTTTAAGCAGTTTCCGGAGGCTCGTTTGTCTTAATAGCTTGAGCCAGTGCAATAAGCCTTCTGTTCCTCATTACTTTCTTCATTTCACCAGAAAGGATCAAAAGATCAACAATTATTTGCAATAAAACCCTAAATATCAAGCCTCTCGTAATTTGTATTGCTTTATGTATTATGTTACAGTAACCCTAATTAAAACCTATGGCTTTTGGTTCTATGTTCAATGCACTATATGATGGCAAAATTAGGCTTTTGGCTTTTGGTTCTATGATAGGTAGCACTATATGATGGCAAAATTAGAAATGGGAAAGATAGATAGCTCAGTTAGGGTAAGAGTCAAAACGGCTACATAAAGTAATTAGATGTTAAACCCACTGTGGTGGTCTACTTAAAGTCATTCAGAGTAGTTTAATGTGAAATGCTCCATTCTAGAGAAACTTAGTCAGAATAGTTTACAGTGGTGGTGATAGGAACCAGGCGTCTGAAGATTTTAAAACCTCTTAAATCTATCTCACAGACAGCCTTTACATAACACTGTTATGAATCTGTTCCCCTGATGCCTGAAATTGTTTTATTATAGTTTAGAAATATAGTTTTTGTTTAAAATATATTTTTTAAACACATTCATGCTGGTGAAATGCATGCAAGTCATTACAAAGTAAAATAATTCTTAACAAAAACTTTATTGTTTTTTTTTTTTTTCATTTTTACCATAATTTTACCATTATCAACATTACAAATAAAAAAAAAATGTGTATACTCACTGGTCATTTTGGATAGTAAATAAAATGATTGTATTTGCGTTGTAGCCATGACAACCCCTGGTTCCTATCACCTCCATTGTAAAGATCTTGGTATGTTTCCCTACAATGAACCATTTCACATGAAACTACTCTGAAGGAGCCACTGAAATATGCAGAATTATGCAGAGTCCAATGAAGAGTTATGCGAAATCAATGGAATTCCTTTTTAATGTACTTAGCTAATGTACTCTAATACATAGTTGCTATGGTAGCACTTTAAGGTGGTAAGATGGGAGAGAAATAGAGAAGAGAGATTGTTCATTTAGGGTTGGGGTTAGCCCTAAATGCTGCGGTAACCGTGAGTAAAACCCCATTTCTTAAGGTGCTCAACTTAATGTACCCAGATAATGTGCTGAAAAAAGGCCCTAATTGCTGACTTTGAAGTAACCTTATATTAATATAACAGATTTTGCCCAGTGTGTAGTGCACACTGTTACTGTGCCTGTTGCAGTAACCCTAAATAAACCCACTCCTTCTGGTGCTCTACTTAATGCACTTAGCTAATGCGCTGTAATGTAGCACAGTTATTATTAAATATTTGCAAAAAGCCTCAAATGCTGTAATACAGCACATTAAGATGGTGGGATAAGAGAGAGAAGTGGAAAAGAGAGATTGCTCCAAGAACTCTCACTGGAATTAGCTTCCTCTTATGTATGTTTACCAAACTGCACACATCTTTCCTCTCCCTCTCTCTCTCTCTCTCTCTCTCTCTCTCTCTCTCTCTCTGTCTCTCTCTCTCTCTCTCTCTCTCTCTCTGTCTCTCTCTCTCTCTCTCTCTCTCTCTCTCTCATGCGCTCTCACTCTCTAATAATAAATATGATTCCAAATTGCTTGCTGGATGAATACAGTGAGGGAGGCTCCACCCCAGCCCCCTCCCTCTCTCTCCCTCCCTCCCTCTCTCTCTCTCCTCTCTCTCTATCTCTCTCATATACTCTCATGCTCACATGCTCACATGCGCCCAGCTGCTCACATGCCAGGATCTTCACACTGTACCTGACCGCTCCGCTGAGCTCAGTGACCACCCACGCTAGCATCCAGCCAGAGAGACGGAGAGAGTGCTGCAGCTTCCCTCTCATCCTCCAGCCTGCTCTTCTCCAGCAGAAGCGCTCCTCCTGTCCTCCTTTCTCCCTCAGCCTCCCTCCAATCCGACCATGCACCTGCTCTGATCCGGTTGCTAAGGCGCTGAAGCCCAGGCGTGGAGGAGTGGACGAAGGCAGGACTTTGTTGCTAAGGTAATGAACGCTTCCAGCAGTGGCGAGGGTGCGGGAAATGAGTGTGATGTGGAAAGGAAGAGGAGGAGGGACGACTCACTGTGCATGTGTGGCTACAGCAAACTTACACATTTCTTATTATGAGCTCTGATGACTGTTTATCTCTTCATCTCTCCTCTCTCTCTCTTTCTCTCTCGTTCTCTCTCTTGCTTTGTCTCTTTTCTCTCTTTCATCCCTTCTCTCTTGCTGTCCTTTGCTCTCTCTTTTATTCTCACTCTCCACTCACCTCTTACCTTCTCTCTATCTTTCTCTTTTTTCTCCTTTCCTTCTCTCTCTCTCTCCCCTCTCTTGCTGTCACTTTCTCTCTTATTCTCTCTACTCTCCATTTTCTCTTCACTCTCTGACCTCTTTCTCTTTTTCTCTCTCCTTTCCATCTCTCTCCCTCTCTCTTCCACTTTCTCATGCTTGCTGTCTGTTTTTCCCTTTCATCCCCACCTCTCTCTCACTGTCCTTTATTCTTTCTTTTATTCTCTCTCTCTATGTCTCTCTCTCTCTCACTGTCCTTTTTTTTTGTTTCATATTCTCTTTTTCTTATTCGTTCTCCACTCGCTCTGACCTCTCTATATTTCTTTTTCTCTCTCCTGTCCCTCCCTCTCTCTTCTTTCATTGTCTTTTTCTATCTACTTCCTTCCTCTCTCCTCTCCTCTCTCTCGTTCTCTATTGCTCTCTCATTTTCTTTCTTTCTCTCTCTCTCTCTCTCTCTCTCTCTCTCTCTCTCTCTCTCTACCTGTGTGTGTCCGTGTCTTCAAAGTGACAGGCTTTTTCTCGCTCTAACCGTGGTGGTGTAGGTTAGCGGGCGCTGGGTGGATTGTGAATTGAGAGCAGTCCTCCTGTGGGGATTGGAGCTGTGAACACAGCTGCTTTTCCTCTTCCCCTCAATAACTGCACATCCTCCGTAGGTGATCTCCAGCACCGCGCTTTCACACCCCACCGATTACATCTTCGTTTCATCTGGATCTTATCTTAAAGTTCATTATGTTCTTTGTTTGTATGGCGTCTGTGCAGAATGAGGGCTAGCGTAACAGGCAGTGCAAATAAGCAGGACGAACAAAAAAGTCAATAAGTTGTATATTGTTGGAGACAGTTTAAGCATTTAAGAGAAGGAGATGTTGGGAAGCTGATTTACTGTCGTGCCAAGCAGGTGATGACACACACACAGTGGAGCAGACAGCAGATGCTAAGGACCCCAGTGGGAAGAAGAGTCTGTTCTGGGAGTAAAAGTGTCACCACAATCAGGGGATTCTCTCTCTCTCTCTCTCTCTCTCTCTCTCTCTCTCTCTCTCTCTGTTCCAGTTTCAGACAGCTGTTCCTCTTAAAGAAACAGGTTGTATTTATTAGCAGATAGCCCCATAACTAACAGATATAAATATAGGTGAGATATGCACTCTATTTATGTGGACATGATTTGCTTGTGTGCATAATCTATATATAGCTAATATAGAAGTTTTAAGACATCCTTTCTAATTATTGAATTAGTGCAGATACAGAAGTTCAATAGTGCACAAACAGCATATATAGTGTGCATAGCAAAGGCATTGCTTAGATCAATAGAATGGGTCACTCTGGAGCAACAACACAAGAGCCTAAGGTCTCCATGACCACTGATAAGCGTCAACAATAGGCTATAAAGCAGTGGAATTCTCTGGATGATGGAGCTCCATCCAATACCTTTGGGATGAGCTAGAGTGGAGTTTGTGATCCAGAACTAATCATCCAACATCACAGTAATGTTACAACATGTAGTGTGAAGCCCTGTCAGAAAAGTACAGAAGAAATCTTTGATAAGCAAGTGTTGTATGTTTATGCTGGTGTGTGATATATATATATATATATATATATATATATATATATACACACATGAAGCAGTGACCATTACTGCAGAAGACAGCCTGCTGAGACTCACATTACTGGCCACGCACAGACATTTAATTGCTATTTAATTGTCTTCAGGCAAAGACAGGCCTGATGCAGGAGGTTGCTGGCTGGCCTACTGGCTGCTTGGGTCCCATAGCATGTTTCAGCAAGTGTTTTTTTTATTTATTTATTTCTTTATTTATTTCTAATTAATTGGACGTTTGTTGTAGTCGGTGTAGCTAAGTTAGTATACAAGTACATGTATAGCCTTTAAGTCTGTTGCAGTGGCACATTTTTGAACCTGTCGTTAGGTCTCCCTTGCACTATTTGCCCACATGTTGTTGCCATAACAAGTGCAGACTTAGAGGAGGGCCGGAGGGCCTAGAGAGCCCTTTGGGACATGCTTTATATCTCCATTAAGGATCCATTTGGGATTCACTCACTCATGTTTAGCAAGCTGATGTAGGCAGGCATTAACCCACACTAGTAGGATCCCACTAATTCACTGAATGCAGGAGTGTACATCTTCTTTTTCTAGGATGTTCTCTCTTTTTGGGACCTAAAATGAACCTCCGGCCAGGATTTGTAAATTTCTTTTTAAAAACAAAATATGTCCACCCAAATAGTATGTTCTTGGTCATAAATTTATTGTATATGAAGTAAAAGAGCTAAAACACACACCATGTAAGTGCCTAAACACAAAGTATATTTAATATGTTTGCTGCTGTTGCAGTGCAACTGTTTACTGATGAGAAAATATGTTGACTCAATCAGCTAGACTGTAGCAAATAAAAGTGCCAGGGTTGATTTGGAAGAGTGGTGCTTGTGTGTCTTGCTGTGGTGTAGTCTACTCTGAAGCAGTGGGTATACTTAGACTAACTGATCTGATTTCCATTAGTAAGACTAGCCTAGCTAGCACATAACAATGTAACTATAATACTTAACTTAGTTATATAACTACCTGTTAACTTCACATTCCTGGTTTCACTTCATATACAACCCCAAATCTTTTTCATTTAGTATGACTTCTAAAGTGTTTTTGCTTAATTTTCTGGAGAAAATTTTGTTAGCATTACGACCTACAGAGCTAGTTAGGTTGTAACGTAGTTCTTGGTAGCTAATGTTTAATGCTAACGTTAAGTCCATGCACGAAAGTGATTTACTCAGAGCGTCTGAAACTGTAGTATTCATCAAAACGCAGGTGAAAAGTACCCGGATGATGAACTACAGGTAGAAATTTGGTTAAAATGGTAAAAGCACTCACAAGCGCTGTGGTAGAGTTCAATAATAGCGGTTTTCTACAGATCTTTGATATTATACATCAAAATTTAAAAAGGCAGTTAACCCTTTCCGACCTGGTGACCACCTGGAAATGCCAAATCTATAAATAGAAGCATTCTCAGCGGTAAATTAGCCTATGTGAATTGAACAAGGAGTGAGGAGGAGTTTTATTTCCAAAGCTGTTTTGGTGTTAAATTTGGCAAACACTTTATTTGGAAAGCCCACTTTAGATGCTTTGGTAGATGCTAACCTCATCTTTAATTTGCATTTAACTAAATATCTGTTAGATTCACATCACCTTGACCTAACCCTAAACCCAACACTCTCTAACCCAGGGGTGCCCAAACTTTCTTTTCATAACCAAAATGAGGGCCAAAAAGATGAAATGCAAAAGTTTGAGCACCCCTGGTCAAATGACATGTTTTCCAAATATGGTAAACTCAGCAAATAAATAGAAATTGAGCACTTAAATTTGCATACAAATGTCATATTTCAGTTTGTTCTCTGAAGAGGTTACATGTTAACTTATGCTCACTAGAAAATCAACAAATCATAATTTTTTGGGAGTGTTCAAATGTTTGCCTGTACAACTGAATAAGGTAGGTAGGTTTCAAATCAAGTTTTTATAAATGTGTTTTATAACACTGATGCTAAAATACTGCAAAAATCCAATTTTAAAAGGAAAACATGGGTTGAATAGGCTGTATAGAGTTGAAAAATCTGTTCTTGGGTTAGGGGATAGGCTTTCGATGGGCCAAATCAAACACACTTACAGGCCAACTTTGGGTCACAAAATGCAATGGTAGTAAATGTCACATCCATGAATCTCTTTCATATCATTGTGCATTTTTAAGTATACATGCAAAAACCTTATGGTGTCCTGGTACGTATATGACGTATCACATAGACTACACTTTTGGCAAGAATTTAATTTTCTCCTTCTTTTCATTTGATATGCTGGCTTGTTTCTGCTTCTAAAACATGGTATCATTTGACACAGACTGTGCACGCTTCGTCCATCACAGCTTTGACAGGTGTCAGGCCTGACACTGAAGTGTCAGACTGAAGCGCAGGCTGACATGGTTGGATGGGTGCTGAATGGTCACCGCTGCCTGTTTTCTAACAGAGCCAGACTGCTGCTGAAACTGTTACTCAGCTTGGATAAGATTCAAACTTCATTTCCTAATAGCAATTTAATTTTTCTTTTCTTTTCTTTCTATTTTCTCTTCCACCAAAATGTATCAGATGTGCAGTGTCTTTGTCTGTATTAACTAATAAAGCTGTGCTCGCTCTCTGCCAAATTGTATTGAGCTTATGAAATGTTAATCTGTTGGCATTCACGGGGATCAAACGAGTGTAGACAGTTAATTCATTGTCTTCAAAGCAGTTCATTGTTGCAAGGCTCTCTGGGAGCTGTTCCATGTGATTGATCTCTCCTCTGTCCTGCCCCTCTGCTTACAGCCGGAGCGTGTGGAAGGGAAGAGGGGGAGCATGGCCCAGTCCTCTCCGGAGCAGGGAGCGGTGGGGACCGCCGACCCGGAGGAAGACTCCCCAAATATGATCGTCTACAGGAAGGTAAGGGCGTGTTGGTGTTTGGAGTTCACCAGAATGCAGTTAAATTTTATTATTTTGGCCCAATTTAGAGTTATTGTTAAAAAAGAAAACACTGAATACATAAATAACTGGAGGAACTATGTACAGCTGTATGCAAAAGTTTGAATTAGTTAGCACATCCTTTACACACTTAAGATACTGTTTGTAAAACTTAAAAGATAATAGTCATTCAGAGTGATGTCTAATGGGTCATAATGTCTATAAGACAAATACAGCTACTTTATCTCAAATGGCTGTTAACCCTCCACTATATGGACAAAAGTATTGGGGCATACTTCTTAATCATTGAATTCAGGTGTTTCATTCAGTCTCATTGCCGCAGGTGTATAAAATCAAGCACATAGCCATGCAGTCTGCCTTTACAAACATTTGTGAAAGAGTGGGTTGTTCTAAAGAGCTCACTGAATTTGAGTGTGGTACTGTAATAGGATGCCACTGTTGCAACAAGTCAGTTCGTGAAATTTCTTCCCTCCTGGATATTCCACGATCACCTGTGAGTGGTATTATTGAAAAGTGGAAGCGTTTAGGAACCCCAGCAACTCAACCATGAAGTGTCAGACTGTGTAAAGATACAGAGCGGATCAAAAAAAAAGTCGTCAGAGCTCTGCTGACTTAATAACTGCAGAGCTCCAAAACCTCCTCTGGCATTAACATCAGCACAAAAACTATGTGGCAGGAGCTTCATGCCATGGTTTTCCATTGCTGAGCAGCTGCATGCAACCTTACATCACCAAACACAATGCCAAGCATCGGACAGAATGGTGTAAAGCATGCCACCACTGGACTCAGTGCAGTGGAAAAGTATTCTGTGGAGTGACAAATCCCGCTCCTCTATCTGACTGTCTGATAGACAAGTCTGGGTTTGGTGAATGCCAGGAGAACATTATCTGCCTGACTGCATTGTGCCAGATGTAAAGTTTGGTGGAGGAGGGATAATGCTACGGGGTTGCATGACTGAGCCCCAGTGCACAAAGCAAGGTCCACAAAGGCATGGCTGGGCATGGCTCTTGTCCAACATCAGTGTCTGACCTCACAAATGCTCTTCTGGATGAATGGGCAAAAATTCCCACAGACACATTCCAACATCTTGTAGAAAACTTCCCAGAAGAGTGGAAGCTGTTATAGCAGCAAAGGGGGACCAACTCCATATTAATGCCTATGGATTTAGAATGAGATGTCATAAAAGCTCCTGTGGGTGTAATGTGTAGGTGTCCCAATACCTTTGTCCATATAGTGTATATGTGTCTCCTGAGTTTTTATACATGATGTTGATAATAGGTGAAAATAGTAGTAAATCCAAAAAATGTTTTCTCTGGCTCTTATACACACATATATATATATATATATATATATATATATATATATATATGTGTGTATAAGAGCCATAACTTTTGCATAGGCCACATTTTATGCTTTATTTCCCCCCTTACATGTTGCATTCAGCAAATAAACAGCAATTGTGCATTAAAATGTGCAGAAGTTTGTTCTTGTTATTTTGTTCTTTTCTTTTGCATATGATTGTATGCAGCTGTGAAATATAGACAATAGAACAATTTGTCCATCATCACTTGTTCTCATCCTCATCTCTCACAGTCTGGTATGGGAATACTAATGTTCAAATTTGCAACAAAAAAGCAAGTTATTGATTGTTAAGCCTCACAGACAAATGGAATAGCTTTTGCTTCAGTTGATTTCGTTTGTATTCAGCTCACTCGTAAGCAAGCACTGAAAATATTTTCAGCTTCCTCTCCTCCAGCTTACCATCTTTATCGATTGCTTCCTTCTGGGAGGAGCTATAGATTCTCAAAAACTTAACCTGTTTTAAGAACAGCTTCTTTTCTACTGCAGTAAGGTTGTTACACTCTTCTGTGTAGCACATCGGAGTCTCCAGCCTTTGTAAGACTGCACTAGTGAATGTAGGGTGTGATTTCCTGGGGTTCCTTACATTGTATTGCATATTGTGAATGTGCTGTGTTGTGTATTGTGCTATCACAAAGTTGTGTTGCATCTTGATGCGCCAGAAACAATTACCACTGATGTGTCATGGGGAAATAAAGAATCAGTCAATCAATCAAAAACAATACATCAACAATGCAAGCCTTTTTGCACTTTTTGCATAAAAATAACCTAAAAATAAACAGACATGCTATTTAGTATTATTACAGTCACTTATGATGAATTAGAACATTTCAAAATTGATGCAGTTGAATGCCATTCAAGTTACCTCAATGAGTTCTACTCTCTCCAGTGTTTCCCTTAGGTTTTTTTCAGACCGGGTGGTAGAACCTTTAAAGTAACCAGTATTGTCATGCATATGTGGTGTCATCAGTTACATGCGTCATGCAAAGTTGCTTTCAAAAATACAGTCAATGCACAAGTATTGAGACTGCACACACACATTGTGTAATAAAAAGCACAAGTATAATGTTGTCTAAACATGAATTGTCTAGGAATTAATTTATGGTTAATTCATATCGGAACAATTCACTTGCAACTAAGTGCTTTACATTTCCTGCTGGGCCAGAGAATATTTAGCTTTTTTGAAAAGAAAAGAATAGTGCTACAGTCTTTTCAACCTAGACTAAATACTATCTAGACCATCAGGTCTACAAGAAAACTTGATTAGTATGGTTTGAAGAATGCTGTAGATTGATTGCTCATGTCTGCAAGCATCCAGATGGGAGATCTCTCATGCATTTTCCTCTTTTGGATGGGAAAAATATCAGCAAAAGGGAACACCGCTTGAGTTTATGTTGTTTATTATCCTCTTTTATTATCTAGGGGTACGTTGCCACATTTCCAGTAAACCATCAAAGTAAATTTCAGTTTGCCAGAGTTGGGATCTGAATTCAGTGCATTTTTACAATGAAAAATAGTTTTGGAATTTTTAAAATTTTTGGCCAAAAATGAGAGTGTACTACATGAAAACCAAACGATAGGTAGCAAACATTAGCCTGCCAGTTACAACCCAATGCCTACATCTCATCTGAGCAGGGTGACGTGAGTGTTTAATGGGAGGGGAAACACTGCTCTGACTTTGCATTATCACATCATTCAAATATCTGTGCAAGAGTTTTTGTTTTATGGTGCAAAGAAACTCTATTTGCCTCATGTACTCTAAAAACAACTAGGTGTCTTTTACTGTATCATTATAGAGCATATGTCAATTAAATAATGTGTTGATGTGTCATCTTTTGTCCATCATCATAATTGTTGACAAATAACTGACTTCAGTACTATTCGAACAGGGTTAGTTTTCTAAGGGCACTTTGTGTGATGCAATTTTATCAGGAGACACCTGTGATGTTTATGACTGATTTCTATGGGATACGAAATTTTGGTTGTTGCGGAGACTTGATTTATTAATTGCCTCTACAAAAAGGAGTAGAAAACATATCAGAACATTTGTAATGTTGTTTACCCTTATCATTTACCCAGCTGTCTTAAGTGACTGCAATATCATTAGCACTGCCATTAGCTGGGGAATTTATAGCCAACAGTCAACATTGCCACACAAAAACGTTTTTCTATCATTTTACAAGTTTTTCTGTAATTTTTACATTTTAATTTTACATGAAATATAGAGTTGAGATGGGCCAATAGATATTTGAGTAAAACCACTGAGAACACAAGAAAATGCCTTCTTGAGAGCCTCCATACTTAAGGAAAACAGCAAAAACTATTATTCCGCAAAATATGATAACATTTTTACCCCCATGTAAATTTGCACAGGACTAAATAACACCTCATGAAACGAAAAAGGTGCATCAAAAATTTGAGCTGCTAACTTGGTTTACTAGTGTAGTACTTGAGTGTGTTGTGTGCAACTTTTGTAAGTCGCTTCATGTAGTTGTCAAGTTGCATGGAGATCTCACAACATGCAACTAGTTGCATGAAAGTTTCACCATGTAAAGCCAGCCAAAGTCTTTTGGGTGTGCACTCTGTGAGCGTTCTGGTGACCCCCTGATAGGCTGCTGTTCTGCTCAGCTTCTGCCGCTGCTCTTGGGCCTCTTTACAATGGACAGGCAGTCTTATTGAATGTGCTTTCTGCTGGTCAGCATGTTTCTGAGCTAAAGCAGGCGATGTACGCGAATGTGGTCAGCAAATGCACACACAGTGGAAGTAGAGGCATGACTTCCCAAAACCTGCTTGTTTGATTATGGCTCACATATTAGAATGGAACTCACATCCTCCTTTGGCCTCTCATCTACTGTGGGCAAACAGAAAGAAAGAGCCGTGGGGAATTTGCTTGGGCTGTGTTAGTCAGTTTGCGTGTCAGCATATTGCGAGCCGTCTGCTGTGTGCGTGTGTGTGTGTGTGTGTTTGTGATGTGAACGGGATGCGCACCCATGCAGATGCTTGCATATTTCTTTTTTTTAATGTATTTCATTCTTGGGGAACGCTCATGTGTAACTGCTATTGCGTTATTTATTTGATCACTGCGGTATTTATTTAAGTAGTGTATCTAAATTTAAGGACTCGAGAGAGAGAGAGAGAGAGAGAGAAAGGGGGGAAACATGTCAGGCGGCTGTCTGTGTGGCTATTTTGGGTGTTTGAGATGAGTCCTCTTCTGCGTGCTGTCAGTGAGACACTGGAAGAGAGATTCATTTCCTGAGCAATGAGGCCTGAACACAGAAAAAGAGCAAACAATGCTCCATCCACATCTCCTTCCAGTCCAAATCCAGCTATAGCACCGCCCCGTTCTCTCCTCAATAAAGAACCTTCAGTGGGATCTCCTCTTATTTACTCAGAGCCATCCCTCAGCTCAGCGAGCCTGTTTAAAACCTGCTTAACCTTCTGAAGAGCACCAGAGGAAGCATGCCAAATTAAATGCCAGCATCTGGGTTAGGAGCACAGGCTTAGGTCAGCTCAGAGTAGACTCCCAACAGCAAAGCTGGTGTCATGTCATAAGGAGAACTACTCATTGCTAAATTGCTGAAACCAAGGGTGAAGTTGTCTGC